TAAAAATTTTAATGTAAATTTAAATTATAAATTTTTTAATTAATGTAATACTCATTTTTAACATAGTTAATTCTAAATAATAATACATAATGGACAAATAATTTTTTAAATATCATATTAATTAATAGATTCATAATTTAGATAACATATTAAATTTTTAAAATTTAAATATTATATTAAATATTTTACTATAATTTAAAATTCAATTATAACATTATTCTGATTTGTATTAGTGATTAATTAATTCAATTATATAGAGAGGGAGGAAAAGAGAGAAAGGGGGTCACTTCATCACATGACTTAAAAGCTAACTCCACCCAACCTCCCACCTTTTTATATTTTAAAAGAGCAGTGGGTAGTGTCACTCAGAATACATGGATGGGTTTTATTTTTGAGTCACAGGTCACACCCACATTGTTTGGGATTGCTTAAAAGTGCTTTGAACATATCCATAAAAGGGATTTCAACTTGAAAACTAAGTCACATTTTGGGGATATCCTTGTTGGATCCTTCCAAAAGTAATGGTTGCAAAAAAGAAACAAAAGATGATTAGAAAGTTAATGGAGTTTGTAATATGATAGAGGATCATGTCTCAAATAATATTTTGTTTTTTATTCTAGTTTTTAGTATATATTGTTTCAATTCGTTAATTTTTCTTGATTAGCACAAACTAAGTGGGCCACACCTATTGATTCGGGGCGATCTTAAGATGATAATATCAGCATCCCCATCCCTTCAATCAACAAAGAAAATAAAGCATGATTTAAGCCTTCTTAAAAAAGTGTTTTTTTTTTTTATATATATATATATATATGAAGATGGTGAAAGCCATTAGACTTTAAGCATAGGAAAAATCTTTAAATTAAAATTAAATAATCATTCAAAATTTCTTATTTTATTATAATTAATTAAATCATTAATTTTATCTTCATCCAATTGGTTAAATGTCAACATTTAGTTTGTTCAATCAAAGTAAAAAAATAAATGTTTAAACTCAATTGAATAAAACAAAAAAAATTAGAATAATTATTTAATTTTAGTTCATATTTTTTTAATATTTAAAACATGCCATTCCAACAATGCTAAACACCAAAGTTAAGCAACATTTGTTTTTTCTTTTTTTTTTTTTTTGCCACAAGAAACAGTTGTTTATTAATCAACGGGATTGTGAATGTTTGATTGAACAATTCTTTCACCACCCTTCCCTTCCGGGAGCTAGGCACTGCTTTAGTTCATGTGGGGTCAACACCGCAAAAAGTTGGCCATGTGGTCCCAAACATGCCCCAACGTGCGTGGGTCCTACCATGCTTGCACCATCTGGATTTGGAATTTGCATGCGACCTCACATGTTTTATCCTTCATTAGTGGAGAAGACATTGTGCCTATGTCTTCGTCCACCTTCCCTTCTAAAAGTTAATGTATCAAAAGCATTACTCAATTCTTCTTCTCCTCTTCTTCCCATCACGTATGTGTTTCCACTTAGGTATACCTAAAGAACTTCATTTGTTAGAGTTTGGTATAGGTCTTATTCAATTAAGTAATGTTGGGAAAACATGGAACTTTCAACTTGCACTTAATTTGCTCTTGTATAATTTTTTTTTAATATATAAAAGGGATCATAACTTGATTAACCAAAAAAAAAAATTTAGGAATATGAGAAGTGATTATAATTGTTAGTTTGGGATTTAAATTTTAGATTTATTGAATATTATTTTTTAAGAGTGATCATCTTTTAAAAGTGATTGTGTGAATTTTAGTTTTAATTTTCTTTGATATATATAAAAAAAGAAAAAAAAATAAAGATTCACTTACACTGGGTTTTACACTATTTTCTTCTTATTGGATAAAAATAGCTAAAATTAAAAATATTTTTGAAATAAGTGAACCAAAGATTAGAAAAAAAAATATAAGATTTATACTGATATAAGTGGATTCCTCCTTAGTGTAAGAGTTATACATTTTGTTTTTACCTTTGGATCAAAATGACTAAGTGTAAATGTTATTGATTTAATTTTGATAGTAAAAAAAATGTGTGACTTACACTAGTATAAGTGAATCTATCCTCATATATATATATATATATATATATATATATATATATATGAAAGATTTATTTACATTAGTGTAACTCTTACATTTTTTTAAACTTTTGAACAAAAATTACTAAATTTTAAAATATTATTTTGAATCGAGTAAGTTATGAATTTAATTTTGATTTAATAGTAAAAAAATATTAAATTTGTACTAATGTAAATGAATCCATACTTATATATTCAAAATTATGAACAAGTTGCCAAGAAAATCAACATATATAGTACTATTCAGGACTTGGTGGTGAATTTAATTAATGAAAGCCCTAATGTCACTCTCACAACACCATAAAAATGCCTTATTAAATGAAAGACAATTCAAAAATCAAGTGAAGCCGAAAGAACTAGCACAAACTTTGCTTGGGCAACAGTGGTACCCAACAACCCAATGTGAACTCCTTAACCTTTATGAGTATGACTACTCACATTTACTTTTTGAGTGAGACCAACTTCTTGAGAGCCAAAGTGGGTGATAGTGGCCCAACTTTGTTTTTTTTTTTTTTTTTTTAGTTATTTTAATTTTCTAACCCTCCAAGGAGTGAGAAGGAGACACCAAAGGAAACAAAAATAAAAAATTGGATCCACATAATAAAGCAAAAAGGTTGTTGGGTTTAATAAAAGCAATTTTTTTTCTAAAGTAATGGAGATCCCAATCTAAGTCCTAAATCTATGTGCATAATAATTTCAGATCTAAAATCAGGTCCCACATAAATTGATGCATCCCATATCTTACTTGCTTATAGGAATCCACAAGAAAATTGTTTTGAAAGGGGAAGAAAGAATCTAAGGACATTACTAATTATAAAAGAAGTCAAACTTGATATACATATAGGTCTATGATTCTTTTTTCTATTCTTTTATAATTTGAAGGAAAAAAAAAATCAAACTCAAATTTTAAATAATGAGATATATGCATCTGCAATTGGACAAGATGTTTTAGTGTATATAAAATTATGCTTTGAGTAAATAAATTTAGAAGGAATTTATCTACATATGCATAAGTATAAAAGAATGGACACATGTTGATCACAGTAATAATCATTCCTGAACATTTGAGGAAAAAATTTAATTTAAACATAAAATCACATACAACTTATAATTTAATATCATCACGTGTAATCTGACACAAAGTGGCCTACAACGTAATAAAATAAGACTTAAATAGCTAAATAAAATTAACCTTCAAATATTATATTAATCATTTAAATTAAAATCAATAGATAACAAATGATTTAATTTATCTCATTATTTCTTATTAAAAAATTTTTTATATTCAACTTAAATATAAGATCACAAATAATTTAAAATTTAACAAATATAAAATAACACTACTTAATAATCATAATTAATAGGGAATCTAAACGGTTGAAAAAGAACATAAGGTTGAAGCTAAAGATGATGGGGGGGGGGGGGGGGGGTTCTGATAGTAGGATGAGATAAATGGACAAAAGTGAAAGAGGCGTCTGAATGGAACACACAGATGAGGAAGGGAAGACAAAGGTGGGTCATATTTGGAGTTGTGACCAAGACTTAGTAAGAGCTTTTGAATAATAATACGCATACTTAATTATTCACTTTTGAAGTGGGGAAGGAAGAGATTAGAACTAGAATTTAGAAAGAAAACCAAAACACTCTCTTTCCCTCTCTCTCTCGTAGTTAGTAAGATTAGGAGAGATATGCTGCAAAGGAAAGAAAAGCATATAGAAATATAGATTTCAACGTCAATCACGCAAACATCCTAAACAATTATTCATCGTCAACATGTAAAGGTGGGTCCCTTTACGTACTAAAAAAAAGAGATGGTCCCGTTTCATAGTTGTAAACACCTGAACATTCCTCCATTATCATCCCAATTCCAAAAAAAAATAATATAGCAAAATTGCTAAATATTTCCCTTTTAATTTGCTAATTTGTGCACTGTGTGCATGCATACATGGTTTGACTTTTTAGAGATAGATGAGGGGAGGGAGCGAGAGTGGTGGTGGGTGGCAGTGTCGGATCCTGAGATCGAGCTGAAGTGAAGTGCGGGATACAGAGAGACAGAAGGAAAACAAATAAAAACAAAGGAAGAGAGAGAGAGAGAAAGAGGGAAGTTGGGCAATTTTGTTTTGTAGCAGAGATTTGTCAGGAAACAGAGAGATGTGCATCACGGCGTCTCATTGGAGATTGTTCCACTAGCATCTGCATGACTATAACAGCTAGGGTTTTGTTAATTAGTAAGTACATAAAATTTTCAACATGTTGATGCCCACCACTCCCACCAGGATCGACCTAGCTAGAGCCTAGGCTATAGAATTCACTGTCGGATTACCAGCTCTATCGTATTGTACGTGTTTGGTAAGCACATCATATGTGACCAGCCATTAACCCAACAATGTTTGCAAACAACTTCGTTAGCTTCTGATTGGCCATTTCAACGAAACAGCCTTCGTTAGCTTCTAATTCAAAGCAAAGTGGTCCAGATCACTCCCCCACTCCTATCTGTTTTCTAACCTAATTGCATCTATGTTCTCAACAAATATAAAAACCTCTCTCAATTGAACTTTTTGGTGCCAATTTTGTCAAATGCTCGTCATTTCTCTGAAATCATATATATTAAAAACATGGACCAACTCAATCATTTTTCTCTTCCATATAAACACTAGCTAAAACAAAGGAAAAACACAAAAAAGAAAATAAGATCTAGAATTATGTATATATATATATATATGCAATGCAAATGCAGTCGTGAAGTAATAGTATCTAATTATTTTATGGCAGCAGATAAAGAAAAAAGAAACAGCTATATCCGGAGACAAAGTGCAATCCCCTTGGGTCCCCAAGTGTTAATGGGTCGTGTTCCCTTACACTCCCTCTTCATTTCCCATTGGGATATCCGTAATCTCTCTCTCTCTGATTCTACTGTGCACTTTTTGCAAACCCTTTTTATCCTGTATATATAATCACCACAAGTGCAACTCTTCTCTTACATTGCATTGCATACGTTTCTTCATTTCTCTTCCTTTCATTCTCTCTCCCTCCAACATGGCAGCGCTAGAGTACCAAGCTAATACTAAAACAAACAGCGCCACTGCACGTTTAAAGCTCTTCGGCTTCAACGTCTCAGAAGATGACGATGTTTCGGAATCCAACACCACCACAACCAAAGCTCCATCATCAGGGTCCCTAGAGCCAGGCGGCTTCCCTGCTCCTGGTGACCGCAAATACGAGTGTCAGTATTGTTGCCGTGAGTTTGCCAACTCTCAAGCCTTGGGTGGTCACCAAAACGCTCATAAAAGGGAAAGACAACAGTTAAAGCGTGCTCAGCTTCAAGCCACTCGAAGCGCAGCTGTTTCTTTTGCTAGAAATCCTATGATCTCTGCTTTTGCTCCTCCGACGCATCTCTTAGCGTCAGCTACGCCAGTTGTGGTCCCAGCTGCGGCGGGGCCTTCGTGGGTTTACTTGCCACGAGGAGGGCCACCGCCTTTCCACGTCTCACATGGTTGTGTGATTCCCACAGCTGGTGGTGGTGGTGGTGGAATGGGGACAGGGCCAGCGGTGGTACCTTATGGTGGTGGTTTAGTAGATACAGGCATGGGAGTTGGCCCGCAAATGATGCAAGGCAGGGCCCACCATGGACGTTCAGTTGATGGGTCCTCATTGAGTAGGTTTTCAAAGGGAGATGGGGGTCCTAGTTTTGATGATTCATTGGGCTTGGATTTGCATCTTAGTCTTGCTCCGGCCGGGCCTTGACTCGGGCTTTGGTGTTGGGATGATTGTACATTTTCAAAATTTTTATTTATTTATTTGTTTCACTTGCACATACTTTTCCCCCTTTTTTTTGAGTTATAATTCAGTTAATTTTCCTCACCAATTTCAATATTGTATTTTAAGATCTAAATTTAGAACCAAAAGTTCCATGCATGCAATTTTTTTTTTTTTGCTATCTTTATTTATAATAGTAAATTGAAAGTTGAAACTCCACAAACGACAGATGAGATCATAGGTAAAAAAAAAAAAAGCAGTTATGGAGATTCGACATAGCAGTAGCACCAGCCATGGACAAATGTTGTGAGTTTACCTTACATTTGGCCTTCTTAATTATGGCAAGTGAAATGTGATTCATCTAATGAAACACACACTACTGCTTGGCTGGTTGGTCATACATGGCTGTGGAAAGGTAGGAATCTTAGTAACTTTTTCTCCAGTTCTCTTCAAATAGCAAAACCTAAGAGCAAGAGTAAATGTTAAAATATATATTTGAAAGCCATACGGTGGAAAATGGTGGGTTTACGATAATGGTAATTAATGAAGCAGGCAGTCTGAGTTCTTTGGAAATACTTGTTGTTTAATGTTTTTTTTTTCTTTTGTTCCCATAATTATCATGAACCTTTTGGGAAGCAATCAGCATATAAATTTTTTTTTTTTGCATGATCCTTTTGAAATAATTAAGATCAATCATTTAAAATTTCTTATCAGGGTCTTTAACACAACGATTTGTGAATAAGATTTGGAGATTAAGGCGGAGCCGAAGTTTGGGTATTAAACTTGTGCTGTTGCTTTCTTTGTTCAGAAACAGAGATTTTCTCTTTCCGTAGATTATACTCAGCATATAATCAAATAAATTAAGTGGGCTTGAAGACAATTCAAGCTGGATTGCAACTTGAAGCCAATTAGTATCTTTTCAAACTTTTCAAGTCGAAATCAATGTCTTGAATCATCTGTAACCTGAAAGAATGCATTAACAGCAAGTTGTCAGTGCCAGTACAAACAAGACAAGTTAAAGTGAAGAGAGCCTTAAAACCCAAAATTTGTCTTATCATGCTTTAAAAGAAAAGGCCAATTGATGGATCTGTATACACAAGAACCATGCAGCCAGTTTCAGCTATTCCAGCTGTTGCTTTTATTCTTTGCGGAGTCTTCTTTTTCAAAAAGACCACCCCTTTAATTGCCATCTGCAATTAGTTTTGACATTAGGGTATCATCATTACTCTTTATAATATTCTTACCCAATCTCCAGGTTTTTTTTTTCTAGATGCAAGGACAAAGTAATCTTGTGGTTCCTTTTTTCTGGAGGATGTGATATTATTGCGGGGATCGACTAGTTCTCTTCTACTCCCAATAACTCCAACTAACCGTTTGACAGTTTGGTGGTGTTTCTTTTCTTAGTTGTCACCCCCTCCAAGTTTAGTTGAGTAGAAGTTGATGGAAAATGGGACCCCATAACATGCATATGCAATCCAAATTTTTTTAGAACTCCCCACATTTTGAAATCAGCTGCTTTGGTTGGATTTTGAGCTGCTAAAACCCTAGTGTTAGAGTCAAATTAGAGTGCCATAGTCTCTCATTGCCTGGAATCATTAAGGATTTAATGTTAAATTCTTAAGATATCTCACATGGGTTGGTTGGTGTCCAACATTTAATATTAGCTTGAGAGAGGAATAATGAATGTACTTGGTTGAGAAAATAAATGGGATTGTTAATGGCTGGCCTGCCAAGAATATTGCGGTTCTCACAAATCAGCAACTAAAACAGCTTGTGGGCAAAAAGAAGCTTACGTGTAAGCACTAAACAAGATAATGTATGACAACTAAAAAACCTAATGCATCATTTCTAGGGTTTGTCCACTAATTTAAACTGATTAAATTAAATTGGTCAAAGGGGCAGGTGGTGGCAGTGGCAATGGCACTGGCACCAGCACCCAAAATTATACATTTTTCGGTGCAAAGTGAAGCTTAGAATCTTAAAGCGTTCAACATATCCATAAGGTCGGTGCCAGGCCTTGCCTTATCTATTTGCACTTCCCAAAGGAAGATTTAGCTGACCCTTTTTTCCCTTATTCTGATTTGAAATGCCTAGATGCATCGGTGTCAATAATTGGTTTGAAGAAGTTGATAGCATATGAATGGTGAATATAGCTAGCACAAGTGGGAACCAAAGGAATCAGATTCCACCAGACAACACAAGAACTAAGAATAGAATACTAATATCATTGGATTGGATTGGATGCTTTTGGTTTAAGTGCTTCCATTTTTCTGCTGATCAAAGCTTTTGGTGTATTTGGTTTAAGGAGAGAGAAAAGAAATGTGCAGAAGCAAACTGGTGCACTTGAAAAAGTTTCTTCTTTTAAACGGCATTTTGACATATAAGTAATACAAAATACGGCTAGTAGTGGTTGTTGAGGCAAAAACTGATAAGAAAATCAAACTCGTACCCACATCCTAGCCTTGAACAGAAAACCAGCCGCGGATTGGGACCCTATATTTAGCTTCATCAATGCCATTGGAGCCGATGTCAACACCCACTTAGCATAAGTCCCTCTTTTCTTTACTTGAGAATTAGTTTCTAGAAGTCACCCTCCAATGAAGGTCAATATCTGTCTAATTTAACTAAAGCCAAAGTGAGGTATCATATGTCTATCAATTCTTAGTCACCATGATCCAATCAAATTTGGTTGCTAAAGTAGTTCGCGTGTTAAATATGATTGGCCATGATAACAAGCACTCCCCAGCTGGGATCAATTGGGACCAGGGAATTCTGTTCTCAATGAGGCAGCCATTTCTGCCAACTGGTTGAAGCTTGATACACATGATTAAAAGTTAAGCAATCAATTCAATATTGTATAATTTGTTTTATTATTATTATTTTCAAACCAAATTAATTCCGATAAAATTCATACTTTTTTTTTTGACAAAAAACAACTTGGAAACACTATGGTGCGCACAACATGATCTTTTTCTTTCACACAAATCAAATTTTTTGTTGGTGAGTGGCTAGTTAGTTGCCCCATTGCAAGGCATGCAGTGTAATTATTTATTGATGGTTAGATTGATTTCTATACTTATTCCTACCGGCTATAACCAGAAATTTGTACAATCCAACATGCAGTATGTCGTAACGGTTTTGAGACCGCTAGACGTAATGAGTTTTAAAATCGAAAAAAATAAAAAGGAGACGCCACCAATCTTTGTTAGGGTATGATTGGTCACCTAAAATTTTATCTTTTTAATAAAACTATGAAAACATGTTTAAAGTTTATCAAAAAGATAAATTTTGGTCTACGAAAAATCAGGTTGGGTTCGAGAGTCGGTTACGTGTGGGGAAGGATTAGCACCCCCACAACACCCATAAATTAGTACCATTTAATTATGCGCTATTTTCGGTGTTGGATGAAAATGGTTTTCACTTGAAATTTAATATTAATTTCCTTCGTTTTAAAAAATATTTTTGCTAAAGTTATTATTTAGAAATATTGAGAAAATCTTTAAGTTAAAGAATTATCTTAAAATTCTCTAACATATAGGCATAATTTAAAATAACTCTTTTCGCTTAAGATTTAACACAACAATGCTTAAAATGAAATAACACTCTTTATAGTAAATTATTGGTGACTCTCCAACATCTAGCCAGAGTATCAAGAATTATTTTTTTCGAAATGTTATTTTTATTTTATTTTATAATATAAATTTTTTTTAAAAAATATATTATTCTTTTTTATTATAAAATATTTTATTATCAAGTAGTAAATAAAAATTAAAGACAGAATAATACAAATAATCTCTAATAATAATATGTTAACGTATGTGTGCCAATGAATGTTATGTAGGATAAGATGCAATTTTAAAGTTGGATTCTTAAGTATAATGAAACCATTCCGACTCTCCAACATCTAGGCATAGCTTAGGTGCAACTGTTTATATTTAAGATCTCAATTTACTATTATACTTTTTATTCATTAATCTTATTATTAAAGCAAATTAACAACTCGTATGAAAAACTTAATGAAATAAAGTTTCCTAAATACCCCATCATCTAGGCAGCATTCGAAAACAAATAACTTCAAATGGAATTCTCACACATGTCCTTAGGATTTTCAGAAGGTTTTGAGTAAGGGTTTGAGTAGAGGTTTTGAAGGTTTGGTTTTAAGGTTTAGAGGATTTTAAGGTTTGAATTTTAGGATATAGAAGGTTTAGGGTTTTGATTTAAGGGTTTTGATTTTAGGGGTTTCAGATTTTATGGGTTTGGATTTAAAAGATTTTGGATTTTTAGGGTTAATGTTTAAGGTTTCGTTTTTAAGAAAAAACGAACATCTCTAAAAATTTTCAATATCTAGGTGAATTTTTGGAGCAAGTTTGATTTTAATGATTTTTGAAAATTAATTAAAAAAAATTCTTATATATTTCTTTTTATAAAAATTTATTAATAATAACTCTCCAACATCTAGGCGAAATTATTTCTTTATGAAAATATTTTTTATTCCCTCCAACATCTAAGCAGTAAAAATAATAATAATTATTCTATTATTAATTATTATTATTATTTTTAAGCATTTTTAATATATATATTTTAATCATTATCTTACTTATTTTCATTTTTATTATTATTAAAACAATTAAAAAACTTATCCTAACAGATTTAAAACTTATCATGCATAAATATATAAAAAAAAATAGTTAAAATAACAAAAATAATAATATATAAAAATAAAAAAATAAAAAAAAAATTTTTTTTTACTTGAATCGGACCGGTCAACGACAGTTCAATTAGACCAAAAAAGGTTCGGTTCGGCACAAGGTTCGATTGAACTGGCTGAGGTGTGGTTCAGGTCGATCCAGAAAGCAGTTCGGTCAGGTCCAATTAAACCAGTTCAGGGCTGCTGAGGAACCGGGTTGGCGGGTCGGTTGCGCAGACCCCAAGTTGGGTATGGGTCCACGCGCGGATCCTGCCTGGCTTAAATGGTGTTGTTTTAAGCTTTAGGCTCTTATATATAACGAAAAAAAAATTTTTGTTCATTATTTTTCTGTTTTAGAAAAAAAAAGAGGGGAGAGCTCTCGCCGTCCGGTTGCCGGATTGCCGTGCCAGCCGCCGCCTAGACCACCGGCGATGGTCGTCGTCGATGATCGAA